TACAAGCCTGTACTTTGTTACTTTTACTTGAGTAAAGAAGTTTAATCAGTACTTCCACTTTTACCAGAGTATTTTTTAACACAAGTACCTGTACTTTTACTCAAGTACGGAAAGTGAGTACTTTTGCCATCTCTGGTATCGGGGCAAAAATATGGCATCGGCGCAACACTAGTATGGAGTGAAATCTGTTCCATCATTGTTGCCAGCAAAAAATACACATTGTAAATGGGAATGTTAAAATTATAAATTTTTCAGATTTCATATTATAAGTTTTATTTTTATTTATTTTTATTGTACATTTTTTATATTCTTAAATTGTTTTGTTCAATTTTCAGTTTTTTGGATTGGGTTTTACAAATTACATTATTTTCTAATTGTGTTTCACATTTAAGATTCTCTTCAATTTAAGCCCAATAACAAAAACATTCTTTCTTGACCATTAAAAATGTTGTAGCTAACATCCACGCAGAGCAATAGAAATGCATCTTCGCTCCTTCAGAGAAAAGCCCACATTAAGAACTAATAGAGCTTTGAAGACCATATAGGGGCTGAGTTGAATATAAATACAGCTTTTGACACAACGGATTCTGAGTTTTGACAAAATGCAGTTGTTGGTTTGAAAACAAGCATTTTAAAGAGACTGGCGACTAGTTTATGGAAATGTTTTGCATTCACCAAAGAAAAAAACAGTCAGGCAGGTTATCTCCTAATTACAAGATCAGTATCTCCTAATTAGCAGATCTTTTCTCCTAATTACGAGATAAGATCTCATAATCACACGAAAAAAATCTTGTAATTACGAGATCTAGTCTATATATTTTCTTATGATTATTTGAGCCAGTAATGAAGCATCTCTCATAAAACTGGTCTTCATGATTACTTCTTAATATATATCTGCACCTGTTCCACTGAACTTATTGGCCCGGGTCTGACCTGATACTTATCGGAGCTCCACTCCTGTTTTTCACTTCCTCAACAAAGAACACAGCTATAACCCTGGAGTTACTGCTTGTGGAGTAAGCTTACAGCCTTATGACCATACGCCAAAATCCGTCAACAGCTCCAACATGTGACAAATCCATCAACCACCCGCATAAAGTTGGGACCTGGTCGTTTTAAATGATGCTGAAGCCTCAGCTGTAATTGAGGATCTAGGATTTTGAGAAGGTACCGGTGGACAGTTCTTTGGGAAACCACCAAGCCAGCTGGAATGCGTTTCAGATGCATTCATTTATAGCCATAAATCATCCAGTGCTGGTTTAATTGCTCCTGCAGGAACAGTGTGACTTCCAGCGAGTCAGAGTAGAGTGAGCTTTTTTTACCTCAACAATTCTTAGGACTTACTGAGCAATGCTGACAAACTAAAACTAATTCCATCCACATTGAGGAAACTCAGTATTTCCCAGTGTCACATACCTAAAAGGAAATAAAAGCTGATTCAATCCGACAACCCCATTGTTCACGTTTCATGTAGCATAGCTCAGCAATGAATGAATGAATGAATCCTGATCTCCTAAATATGACATATTATCTTATAATTATGAGATCTTATCTGGTAATTATAAT